ACATTTAATTAAAGATTTCGTGAAGTAATGGGGAAAAAAAAACCCCCCCCCCCCCCCCCCCCCCGAAGAATATCCTTCTATCTATGGCTGATCATCCTCCTCAGCCCCAATGGCAGCCCACTCAGTGCCTTGGTTCACAGAGCTCAGCCTGGCGCAAAGACTCAGCAGCACCACGGTCTCAGTCGCAGCGTAGTGGTTCAGTGAGTCGGAAAGGATCTTCATGTGGCGGCCGAAGTTGCTCTCCCACTTGCGGACAATGTCCGACAAGTGATTCATGCGCACCTCGGCGTCTTCCACGGTCGAGGCATCGTTCTGTGCTGACGTCGAGCGGGAGGAAGGGACCTTGGTGGACTGGAAGCGCTGCCATTGATCGCTGGTCATGGTGTCGGGTTTGGTGCCGCTGGAGAGGTCCGGGTCGATCTTTTCAATCTCGCGAGTAACAAAATTAGTGTACTGGGAGAAGATGGCGCACGCTTGCATGAGTTTTGAGTTGACCTAGAGGAGGAGGGCAGAGTTAGAATGGATCAAGAAGTGAGAGGGCGGGTTGTCAGGATACCTTTAGTAGCTTGCTGTTTGTAAGCATGCATTCCTTGAGGCACGTATCCAAAAAGTCTACGTGGTCCTGCATCAACTCGTCCACCGTCCGGTTGAAGCCGGATTTCTTGTCCGACATCTCGTCCTTAGCTTTCAGCCGCGACATGAACTTTGTCCAGTTTGGCTCAATCACCTCTGCTGTGCAGAAATACAGCACCTGCTGGATGTAAACGAGCATCCTCCCCCGCAATGTCCAGGTTCGCCGCTTCAAGGCCTCAAGCTCCGGGTTCGGGCCCTTGTGAGACCAGGTCACGGCTCTGGTATGTGATTGCCAAGTCGAAGACAGTTGAGATTCTAGGTAGCGTAAGTGAAGCAGAAAACGGAAGAGCGCTTGATAACGCCAGACTGTCTTGCGACTTATCACCAGAGAGACGGGAAATGGAACCGAATAATCCAGCTGCAGCGACGTAAAGCCCGTTGCGTTCTTATCTGGTTCAATGGGTTGCTGGTTCGTAACGGGCTGCATCACTTGGCCGGACTCTATCCCCGTGATGTTCACAACCCGCTGGAGGTTATTGATAAGGGTGATCTCGTTCATCTCCACCTTGACGTCTTCTTTGAAGGGGTCTAGCGAGGCCACAGTTCCAGGTTGGCGCAAGACGAGATCCAGTAGGGACTGCAGCTTGCTTGTGTTGACACTCTTGGCAGGTTTTCTCAATTCGGAGGAGCCAAGCTCGAGGAAGTATGAAAACGAGTCTGAAGGATCCAGGAAGAAGTAGTGCTTGAGCGAACGTAGCCTCAACGGCAGTTCATGCGTCGTAAGAAGAAGCTGCATGAGAGACTCGTTGGCGTGGGCATAGGCATTGTTGACGTTCTCGATGAATCGCTTATCGTCGAACGAGGTTGGTAGTTCCGTCACGATTTTGCTTACGTCTACTCCACCACATTCGCGAACGACGTTGAGATACTTGCCGGCCAGCAGCACTTTCTCTTTGACGCCTTCCAGCTGGGGTGGAACGTCTTGGTCCCGAATAGTGTACCTTCTCTCCCAGTACTCGTCGATATAGTCCCTCTCGAGCCTCTCTCGCCCAATGCTCTTCTGTTCTCGAATCATAAACTCAGAATGAGGATCGTGGATACTGCCGTGGTGCAACCATTCATTCAGCATCTTCATATACGGTCGACTGGCATCCCGCAGCAATGATGTTAACAGAGATCGGGCAGCCGGGTCACCTCCCATTGATTCAAGCCTTGAGGCCAACAAGCCCAAAACACTGCCGCCCTTGCAGACTTTCAGGGCTTTGGAACTTCCAGGAACAAGGTCTCCCCCCTCAGCAAGCCTCTCGAGGACTTTGTCATAATCGTCTACTTCATCATCGTCCTCCTCATCACTTTCGTCGTCCAACAGCGCGTTCTTCTTCAAGAGCTCCTGCGCCATTGCATAAAGATGAGACAGCATCTGACACGTAGGTAGGGTGTGAATGTTGAGAATGTGGACGGTAAACGTCTCACTCGTCAGAAACTGCGTCTCAAGCTGGGCAATCATAACCAGGTAGTCCTGCAAGCATTTTCTCACCGACGCACACAGCGCATGGTTCACGGCACCAAACTCCTCACGGCTCTGCACGTCGACAAAGGCTTCCAAAGCCGAATAATAGGTCGCCATCTTCAACATGGATTTGGTCAGGTCGTGTAAGCTGGGATCAAGCCCGGGCAAGATCCGAAAGGGCGGCCCAGACAGTCGGTCTCGTTCTTCGTTGGGGCTATACCCTCGAGCATATCGAATATACTGCCCTTCATACCCCATGAAAACATATAACAAGTCCTCGACAATGGCGGCCTCTTGAGCCTCCAATGTCAGCTCATGTAGGGGTTTCGGCTGTGGTGCAAACGGAATCGCAAAAGCAATCGGAGGAATCGAGATTCGCGAGGCCAATGCGGCAGAGGTATGTGGCAGCAACGACGCTTCCGGGTTCCAGACGACTGTGTCATGACGATTATATGTCAGCTCTCGATAAGAAACATGGACCAGTCCATGTGCAAGCAAGGAGAGCGATATATGTCCGGGGAAGGAGAAAAAAAGAGAGAGAGGATACCGTACCTGGGGGCGTCTCTGCCCGGATCTCCCTAGGCCGCAGCTCGGTCGACGACTTTTGCCTGCGCATCTCGGCCGGCCTCATCTCTGCCTGCTGCTGCGCGCGCCGTTGCTGCTCTTGCTTGGCCGGACTGGCTGTCCGCGACGTGACTCGCTCCACATGAGCTTCGAAGCTCCGCTCTATGCCTTTGCGCTCCTCGAAGCGTCTCTCCTTGCCCAACCGCTCCCTCGCATGGCCTGGCGAGGACCGCTTATGTGATTCGTTGCCTCCCAATTGGGGCTCTGCATTCTTCGCATCCGCCGTGCCACTCCGGGACCTTCCATTGGCTCCAGAAATCCGGGAGCGGTCGTCAGCAAAGGCGTTGGCGCGGCTTGATGCCCTCGTTCTTACGCCAGACGACATGCTGGCGAGCTACATCCGAAGCTGTAGAAAAGGTGGTGAGCCCTTCGCTTTGCGCCGGCCTGAGAGAAACGCCCGTCACCCTCGTATTATCATGGAGATTGCCTTTTCGCTTTGTTCCGTTGCTTCTTCTTTTTTTTTTCTTCCGCTGTGAGGGCTGTGGTGATGGTAACGAACTTTTGCCGGTGCTGGGTATAAAGTTGTTGTGTGGTTCTTAATGGCCTGCATGCGCAAGTCACAAGGCAAGCTCTACCAGCTAATACGGTGTACCTGCTCTATTGATTCAACGAGTGCATGGTGGGGTGAAACACGGCCGTCAGGCGCGTCGCGGTTGCCATTCCGTTGGCCGGATCAACCACGCTTCCGGCAGCACAGCTACCTTAAGGTTACTAATCTACCTACTAACCTACTACTAAGGTACTAGGTAGTACTTGTACTGCTCCCAGCCTGCCTGTGGCGCCAGATGTGGCGGTGCGCCCGTGGTTCTGCCTCCCCCACTACAGTCCAAGGTACGTACTGCGGACCTTGGAGCAGGGAAGCTGGATGCGTAGGCCCAGTGTTTGCCTGATAGCAAGTATAGCAGCAACCTTCGCAGCTTCATCCTTCCTTCAGCCTTGCTCGCATCCTCACCACCACTCTCTCGTTCTACCACGGCATTCCACTGGGCATCTCTAGGCCAATCCAACCGCACAATCAGTCAAGATGTTTATGGCAAGATCTGAATACGGCAAGCAGCTTCCCCCTCCTGTCCCCTCCCCTCCTAAGCTCTCTCCCGTTCTCTTCTGTTCCGTGACGAGACAAGCACAAGACGGCCACAGACGCTTCGGGCATATATGCATGTGCAAATAGGCAGACAAGGAAACTCGTGCTAACTTCGTCTTGCCCGCAGACCGGGGAATCAACACCTTCTCCCCCGAAGGTCGTCTCTTCCAAGTGGAATACTCGCTCGAGGCTATCAAGCTCGGGTCGACCGCCATCGGCATTGCAACATCCGAGGGCGTCATCCTCGGCGTCGAAAAGCGAGTCACATCTTCCCTCCTCGAAACCTCCTCCGTCGAAAAGATTGTCGAGATTGACCGCCACATCGGATGCGCCATGTCCGGCCTCCAAGCCGACGCCAGGTCCATGATTGAGCACGCCCGCGTCGAGTGCCAGAGCCACGCCTTCAACTACAACGAGTCCCTCAGCGTGGAGAGCTGCACCCAGGCCATTTGCGACCTTGCCCTGCGCTTCGGAGAGGGCGCTGACGGAGAAGAGACCATCATGAGCCGGCCCTTTGGTGTCGCGCTCCTCATCGCTGGCTTTGACGAGAACGGTCCCCAGCTGTTTCACGCAGAACCCAGTGGCACTTTCTATCGATTCGACGCCAAGGCTATTGGATCTGGCTCAGAAGGAGCACAAGCAGAGCTGCAAAACGAATATCACAAGGTCAGCTTTGCTTCCTCCTTTGATATTCCCCCGTATGAGTAAGCAGCACACGCTGACAAGATTGGTAGTCCTTAACAATCGCCGATGCAGAGACACTGGTTCTCAAGACTCTGAAGCAAGTAATGGAGGAGAAGCTTGACTCCAAAAATGTGCAGCTGGCCAGCGTCACCAAAGACAAGGGCTTTAGAATATACACGGACGAGGAGATGGCGGCAGTCGTCGATCGCCTACCATCAAACTAATCAACCACGATACGCCTAACGAGAATAGAAAAATAACTGCATTACTTGCAATCCTTCCCTTCTTCTTTCATGCAAGTGACCAGATGAGAGAGTATGCGCGCAAGGTCACTTGGCCAGTCCGCTAACTGCATCAATTCCACTACCACGTACTACCTTAGGTAGGCAAGATACATGCTAGAACACCAGATATTTCAATAACAGAAATCAGATAATATTGTGGCTGTTGCATTTGATTTCGTCGTTATTAGATCCCCATGCCACCACCCTTCTACTCTTTTAATATTCCTTGTCCTTTGCCCCCTCCAGTATCTTATTATCCGTCTCATAACGCTGCACAAATCCTTCACACAAAAAACTACCATAGATACCATGGCATCTACCAAAATCCACTGTGAATGTGAGCTCATTTGTCTGCTAATCAATACTTGAGCCTTATTTCTGATTTCCCTCTCCCCCTCCTTCTCATTCTTACCCGTTTCTTTGTTCGTCTTTGTCTTCTTTTCCTTCCTCTGCGCTCTATTCCGATCTCTATTTTGCGCCTGCCATTCTAAGACATGACGCATTCTATATCGCTCGTTAGTTTAAATCGTCTCGAAGTTCGAGTCTCGCGAGTTCTGTTTCGATTGCTAGTATCCCGATTGCGTAATGTGTTCTTTCAGCCTTGGCCAGTACTAACCGCCGTTCTTCGCCCGATTCAGATTCGTCGATTTTCTTATCAATGCGGCGAGGGTTCTTCCATATTGTAGACGGGACATTGTTGATGATTGTTGGTCGTGTATATTCCGGCCCTCCCATCGTGCTAGATTTTATCCATGCCGATTCACAGCCACAAGCAATCTGCATCGCAGATTGCCATCCAGTCAGGCGCGCGATATCATGCATTCTCTGGATGACCCATTCTCTCTGCCTGGTTTCATTATACTAAAGAAACGTTAACATCTTTCGTTATAGGTGTGTTTGTGTTCAGACGAAGGGGCTTTGGGGGGGAAGGGGTTGGAAGGGGTGTTGCACGAACCTGTACACCTGCTACGAAGACGCAGAAAGAACTCTCAATGAGGGCAGCACCGAGATATGTATTGATCACCGCGTACTCTGAGCAGTCGGCAGCAAGCCCAGAAGCAATCTGTCCGATCTTGAGAGCAAAACCCGCCGTCTTCTTAGCCATCAGCCCCGCTGCCCTCATTGCAACTGGCGGCATTGAGGGATGGCTTCGATAAAGGTGAATGAATCCCATATAATAATTCATCCAGATGCCAGCGATAGAGTACGTTCGAAAGTATATCGGGTCCCCAAAAGGCGTTTTTGTCCTTCTTGGACCGTCAGGTTCATCGCCGAGGGGCTGGAATTCGGGCCCAAGGCGGCTCTTGAATACCTCAAAGGAACTGTAAATGGCATTCCATTCTTGCAACGCAGCTTCGTAAGTGGCTTCCGGGTCAACGTCATCCTGAGAATCACTGTGCGGCGTGCCATCCCGTGGAGGACTAAATCCCATGGGGGCCTGCACTTTCCCAAACGTCGGGAACATGCCTGGGAACATTGGGGGGGATCCAGTTCCAGCATTCTCCCCCTTAGCTTCTATAGCCTTCTGTTTCCGGGATAAATCTTTTGACACAAAGTCTGAAAGGCGGCCAAGCAACAAAACCAAATGGTCATACGTGCCATATCTAACATAGTATCAGCTTCAAGTGCCACTACTTGAACGGCCAGGGTAAAAGAGGGGGGGGGGAGCGGGTTTGGAACATACGCGGATGTATATGTTGAAAAAGGGGCCCTCGGAGGAATTTGTGTCCAATTGTCATATTCCATGCTTTTTCCTGCTTAGCATACATTTTTAGCCAGTCATGAGATGGGGGACATACAATAACTTCGTTCCTCCCAAGATGCTCTGATAGACATCCATTTTGCAGTACCACCAGAATAGATCGCATATGATATCGTATTTTTCAATTTCCTTGTCGGTTACAGAAGAGTATTTCACGTCCGGAAGCTGCCCCTCTCCGTCACCATAGGCTTCTGGAGACAAAGTAAGTCCTGTGATGACATTCAAGAAATCATAGTCGAGAGACTGTTGTGCGCTCTGTGATGATGCTGGGTGGCAATGAGTGCCATATATATAGGAGCCTATGTGTCCTAGTTGATATCCTCTGGCTTCCTGGCGTTGTCGCATGCGTTTCGCCGGGAAACATGATCGAGTCATCTCTCCTAAAGACATCTCGCGGAATAGAATCCTAGCGCCAAACAAGTGATTGCACCACTTGGTGTGATCAGATGACCAGACCTCGAAGTAGCTGAGCAAGAGAGTGGCAGCAAGAGTTGCCGGCTGCGTCCTCTTGGAGGGCGACTTCACGCTTTTCGCTATGCGGCGTATGGCACGGTGATAATGCCTCAAGGCTGCTGTGGGAGGGCTGTCTCGAAGCTTTGCGAGTTGGAGGCTTGCCAATGCGAGCATCGCATGAAATAGGCCGAGATGTTGAAGCGCCAGCGAGGGAATTGCATCTACTTAAGATGTCAGAAGGCGTATCGTCATGCTTTTGATACACAGGGGGTTCAACTTACAGCTCCATAGGCTCTTTCCAGATCCAGCTGTTGCTTTGCTTCTGGATCTATCTAAAGGAGAAGAAATGTCTCCTTCGAAGATTGAGATCCCGGGCCCAGTTACATTGATGAAATGCATGAAGATCGTGTTAAGGCCACTAGCCCAGAATTCAGAGGAATAAGGGGTCTCCATGTGTGCTTGAACATCGTCGCTTTGGGCGAAGGCCGAAAAGACGCTGACATCGACGGGACTTACAGTCCAACGCTCAGGGACCAAGTTTTTTATCGGTGGCAAGTTGCCTCTCACGTCTGGCAAATCATCGTCAGAATCAGGCAAAGAGGCCTCATCATCCAACATATCGAACTCCCAATGGTTACTCAAGGGTTGTGTCATGGTTGTCCCCGAATGAACATTGAGAGGATGGTTGCCACTTAGATTGCCGAAATGGCCAAGCATATCCCCAGCAGAGCTGCCATCTTGGAGAGAGAAGAACTGAGCTTCGGGAGGAGGCCTAGTAAAGTAACCAGGTCCTCCGATAGCTTCTGCCGCAAGCAAGGGATTGGGGAACTGCGGATTGTAGGAAGGTTGCAAAAACTGGCCAGAGCCCATACTGTAAGCGGCAGGGTCTTGCAACACTGGTCCTCGATGGAATTGCTGCTGAAATGGAGCGGTGGTGGGTTGAAATGGTAAGCCATGCTGATGTTGGTCAAAATTCGGCGGCCTCGGCGCGATAGCCGGAAAGAGTCCTCTTGAAGACTGTCGGTGCGCAGGTAAAGATTCATCAACAATGTTTGAAGGACCAGAGAAGATTGCTTGGTTGAAAGGAGACGAAAACGAGCCAAGAGGTTCCTTAAATATAACTCTTTGGCTATATCCTTCACAGTCACGTCTCGATTTGATACAGTTGTGGCAAATTGGTCTGCCTTCGTCGCATTTGATTCGTCTCCTACGACAGGCTACAGACAAGAGCTTTTGTCAGATTTGGAGGGAATGAAAAGGAGGCGGGGGCAGAAGGGAAAGGAGAAGTAGAATGCGACGGAGGAGAAGGAGAAGATTCAAAACCATAATGTTCAAGCGCTACTCACTGAGACAACCAGTCTTGGTTCGCTTTCTTGTGCTCGTCTTTTTACGATTCGCGTCGTCCTTCCCTCCGTCATTCTTCTGGGAGGAGCTTCCCTGGGGCTCTGTTAAGGTAGCCTTTGCCGTTGTAACAGATTGTTCCTCCATGATGCAATACTTTGCTTCGAGGGAGAGTTGGATACTACACAGCAACAGTCGTTCAGATTTCGTGCCGTCTTTTCGTGCAATGAGATGCCAGACGCCGGTTAATGAAACCGTTTCAACAGTGCCGAAGCGAGATAAACCGCCCCAAACAGTATATATATATGGGCAGAAGCATATATCACCCTGGGGCACGCGGTGAGAAGGTTTGCCGTGAGCAAGAAGAGAGTATCAGCATGTGAGGGGACGGGACTGGGAGGACGGCGGCCTCGAAACCCGCAGGCGGTGCGGCGGAAGAGAAGAAAGATGATACCACCTGCTGCTGTGCTCAGCCACTAAGGGGGAAGAGGATGGTATTAGCACGACTGGCCGAAAGGACGAAAGCATCAAGTAGCGGCTGGACAAGAGGAGAAGGATAGCAGCAAGTGGAACATGGCCGGTGTAACTTGAGGGCGCAGCAGAACAAGGATGAAGTGTCGAGCTGTACGAAGATCAGGGCCGACCAAAGGCCTGCGATGGCGGACGATGCCGGTAGCAAAGCAAAGCAAAGCAATAAAGTACGGGGAAACGAGAGCCGTGAAGGAGAAGAAGAAGCAGAAGATTGTGTAGAAAATAGTACGTATAAGAGAAAATTGAAGGGGCGGAAGGCAGAAAGGAAGAGATGAGAGAAGCAAGGAAGGAGATCAGAAACGGAGAGAAGGAGAAGGAGGAAGGAGAGCAAGCGCACATGCAAGTCGTAACAGGTAGTATTTTTTTGTTTTCCTCTTGTTCAAGTTGCTTCGAAACAAATACCTGGAAGAGCATGAGTACTACCTAGTAGCACTAAGGCATCTCGAGATCTGTGACAAGGTGTTGAGGGTGTGGCGGAGAAGGGGGGAGGGGTGGAGCAAAAAAAAGACGAGAAAATGGAATGCTGGCGGTCGCTCAAGCCAGGGCAGGCACTCCCCGCCAACCTACCCGGATTTCCTTTCCTGGAGCCAACCACCACCTGTTACCTGGCCTTGGGGTAGCTCTTGATGCCTCGAGTTAGGGTTGAAGGTATCGGACACGCGGGGAACACAGCCGAGGATACCAACCCAGAGGTACTCTGCACTACAAGGGATAACCTTCAACATCAACAACAAAACATACCAGATGTATCCAGCAGTAGGAGCTACCTACTGGGTAGTAGGAGGTAGAGGGTAACAAGACGAGAAGTGCCAATGCTACCTACCTTAGTAGTACTAAATGGTAGGAGATCAGGCAGAAACGTTGAACCTGACAAGTACAGGCGAGTCAGTCACTTTACCCCAATGGAGGCCCTACCTTAATACCTCTTGTACACCTCAAGGTGGTGAGCCGCTGCTAGCAGAGACTGTTAGCTGACAATCGACAATCTCGAGATTCATCCGGCAGAGCGTATGTAAGGTAGGTATTGATACATTATACTTGACTTACCGCTGAGTCGGCAGGCAGTGGCACCGGTAGACGCAAACACTGACTTGTTCTGTATTAGAGCAGCCGGAGCCAGACGGATAACATGATGCGCAGACACAAGAGAGGCCAGGTTGTACCTAGAGTAGTACCTGGGTGCTTCAGACTGTCGGCAGATTCCAGAAAAAGTACCTTTCCTTCCGATCGAGACCTCGCCGGGAGAGACCAATCAATATCCCAGATCGGGGCCGGACCGGCGACCAGGTGCAGCCCTCTGTCTCTGTCTCGCCGCGGGAGTCTGCAGAAAGGCAGAAGCGCAGAGGGGGAGGGGGAAGGGGGAAGAGGTGATGATCGCAAGGAGAACACGAGTGCGCTGGGGTACCGGGATGTCAAAGACGCCAAGCTGAGCGGATGGAACCGTGCTGTTGGTCGATACAGGTTCCAAGGAGACGGACGGGCTGATGGGCCGAAATCAGCTATTCACGTCGCGCCTGGCTTGGAGACTGGCTTCACGCGCAGAGGCCCGGTCGAAGCAGAGAAAGGAAAACGAAGTACCGAATAAGTAGAGGTATAAGTTCTCAAGAGGCTGGGGTGGTTGCTCTTTTCTTCTTCCCCCCTCCTTTATCTCCTTGCTTTATCTGCTCAGGTGGGTGGTATCACCAACAGTATTGGTCACCCAGACCTGCAGGACAGAAATAGGGAATGCAATAACTTTTTCATGTTTCTCAGCCCAGGAACGAATTAGAAGAACTATTCTATATAACGCATGGGACAGCGTACCTTGTCGCTTCTCATGGCAGATGAATAGAACGGCTCTCCTGCTGGCTTTGCAACTCCCGCCGGTGATGAGCCCCGGCATTAGCCCAGGTGGCTAAGTATGCATGTTAGACACCGAAACTTGTTCTTATGCGATGTCAACTTTACCCGTGCGCAGCCGACTGCAGCTGCTCCTCCATGGTGTTGATTGTATTGCGGGCACAGGCCAGCGTGTGAACAAGCATGGGATACTGCTCCGGGGCTGACGGCGCCGTCGTGGATAGGCGCCCATTGTCCGATACCAATTCGTTTATTCTGAACGCAGCCCTAGGAGGAGCAGTTTGCAGTTCTCTATTGTCTGGGGAGCAGTTTGCTTCATGAAGCAGGCGACTGGACCGGGTTGTCGCGCCCATATTAAAAACGCACGCACATGAATCATCATGAAAGTTCTTCTGAGTCGCGAGAGAAAAGCCACAGGGAAGATTGATTGAACAAGTAAGAAGGGGTGGTGGTTAGGGTAAGGGTGGAAGAGAGAGGTGAGTGAGATGCTCCGTACAAGGTAGAGCAAAAGAAGATGACCGTCGCTGATCCCCTTTGGTAAGAAAACTGGTACTAGGTATGCAGATACAGCAGACGATGGGATGTGATTGATTGATACCATTTCTGAGCATTCGTCTATGGACCCGTATAGAATTCCAACATGGCAATATCACAGCACCACAGCACCACGCAATGTTGGAGACGTGATTTGGACCATTTGGTGTATTCGACCGCAGGGCTGCGCCATCCGAGAGACCACAGTCAATAATACTGATCCCAATGCTGGTGGTAGCAGGGCCGAGTTTCCGGTGGCTTGCTCAGGGAACGAGGAGATCTGCCCGTTCCTGGCCGGGTCTCGCCATGCTCGCCATGCCATGGCTTGCATTTGCCAAACCTCTAAAAACCACCCTAATGCGGCAGGCTTCCCCTAGTCCTCAGCTAAGCTTCTCACCGGTCCCAACAAGCGCTGCCAAGCCTTTTTTCGATGCCGACGGTGATGCAGCGAAAGGCGCCATAGCAGCAAGCCTCGTCGCACAGCCAGGTTCAGCGACTTCGGGTGTCGTTTGATGGTGCAAATGTTTGTCCGCGCCAGCCCCCCCAGGCCCGACGACAATTACCGCTCAGACATTCGACCGTGTTGTCGGTGGATCTTGAATATTACCTAAGAAAGCCACTGACCGTGGCCTCGCGGGTTGCGGGAGCGGCTGCTCCGTAACGTGTTGAAGCTGAGTGGAGACTCGGGAGCCCGGGAGCGAGACGGACAGGACAAGACACGACGGATGGGTGGGCAGAGACACGACACATACCAGGCGTCTCGATGTCTTCTCACGAGTACATGTACTCAGCATGTCTAGGTACAGCTCTGTACATTGTACGGAGTGCCCAACACCCCTATATCATGGTTTAAGGAGGGTACACGAACAGCATCTTGAACAAACCTCACTTACCTAGCTATCACCAGCGCCCATTTTGGCGTTGTCTTTGGCAACTCCAGCCATATGATCCACTCGTGGCCATCTACTGGACTGCAAATCTAACTATTATTATCTGGCTTACTTGTACGGAACTACATGACTCTAGATCATGCACCGTGTGGTTGATCCGCCGCCGCTTAGGTTGGTCGAATTATGTCTCTGTGGTACACAAACTTGTCGCCACGTGCTACCTAGAGTCTCTTGACTCACAATCATCATGGCATGACCCGTTTACCGCTCTTCCCTCGTAAATGAGACCGGCGGCAGCGGCAGCACTACAAGTACGACTGTTTTGTAGCTCATTATCGTCGTGATGGATGGACAGGATGCGCCATGTCTCGTTGCGGCTTCCTGCGTCATCTCCGGCGCCACAGACATGATACGATATGTACCAGTACTCGGCGAGCGTGGAGCATCACGAGCCAGCTATAAGCCAACAGACATGGACACATTTTCTCGCACACAAGGTCGTTATCATATCTGCGGAGCCATCGTTGGGTGGACACCTGTCCGCAGCAGCGGTTCAATATAGGAGCCACGAAACAGTCTAGGCGCTCCTAGCTCCGTGGAGAGAACGAGGCTAGAGCTCAAGCAATCACGTAAGGCTCTTACTCCCCCTTTCTCCAATACTATATCCATCCACACTGACCTCGAACATGTCTGAGACGGCTGCTTCCGCAGGGCCGTTGTTCCCTGCCATGGCCATAAGCTCCCTCGCTCCATCTTTTGTGCGCGGCAACACATGCAACGGCAGGGGACCGGGGCCCGACCAGATCTGCTGTCGTGGCCTAAATCTCTGTAGAACCTCGCCGCTGTGTCGGGAGCGGATGAGAGAGATTTTCATGTCACCACGCGTCAGAATGGGCCATTGTTGCTCTGTGGATCTGGCCAAAAGAGCGCGAGCACATGTTACGCCGTGTCCTGGCTCGCCAGTGAGGGCCGCCGCTGGCTATGCAAACACCCCTCGCTGTCCGTCTTGTCCTCTACCGCCTCGACTTTGTTGTGTCTTACCAAGGGTGCGGGTGTGATGGATCCTCCATCCCCGGCGGGAATGCGGGTGAATCTATCGTCCCATGCTTTGTGGATATAAGCTCTTGGCCTTGCTTTCGGGTCATCAATTTCATGCCATAGCTGCATTATCTCCACTTGATTGCAATCGAGGTGGCCATAGACCCAGAAATCCCAGGCGGTTTCTCAAGCATGACCCCTTGCAACCGAATGACGAATGAGGCCGCAGACTCATTGCCATCTAAGTAAGGACCATGACTTTTCTATTGACTCTCTACTTTGGCCTTTGCCGTGGTCCCCGAACGATCTAGGTACGGTTGGAAACCTAGATCAGGTCTGCGCAAGGCAGTGTAATATTGAACAAAGTCCGTCCCTCCCGTCGGCGGCTAGCCATGGCGATTTGCTCCTGTAAGGACTCACGTCTCGCATCACTTTCCCACAATAGCTCTGATTATACGGCATATTCCAGTAAAAGTTACGGTGAGCAGAGAAGTGAGACAGCCAACATGTCTGGATCCAAAGGTCGCTTTGAAGTTTGAACTACACCCCTTTCCTTCCCCGCCTCTTGAAAGTCTTTTACACGTACACCAGTTGCTAGCCGCTCATTTCTATCGCCAGATTGTCAACCCAGTTCATCAATCTACGCTTATTATTCATGGCATATTGACCTCGGAAGAAGATGTTGGTGAACATTGGAAGAGAATCCCTGGCCTTTAGCCTTTACAGAGGACTTTGGATGGCTCCACATTACCTATCCAGCGACGTCCTTCTAGAAGCTGGCTTCGGGAGGCTGATGACAAGCTTGATGCTTGATGGATGAACTATGCCGCTTTCTGTCTAGAATTGCATCTTGAGTCAAGATGCTTCCCACTTGTAGCTGAGCCTAGCATGTATAGAGTATAACTCGATCTGCGATTATGTAACTAGAGCAATCTGTATATCGAATCGAGATGCAATTTCCCATTGTTTCCAAGTAAACCACCATCGCCTGCCGGAAGCTTTTGAGTCATAAAGTCATATCAAAAAGGACAACATGGCCAAGTTAAGTCAAACTGTAGATGGCCCGCAACAAAAGAAAATCCTCCTTCGTGTACTAATCCCAATCTCAATTTGCCCACTACTGCTCTATTTGCAGTAAATTGCATTCAGTATGCGGTGACAGACTGCAGTTTATCGGTTCGGTGGAGACGTCCTGGATGTCATCAGACACATCGGTATACGTCCAAGCGATCTATACAGGGTTAATTTCGTTCGTCAGCACAGTTTTCGCAAATAGTTGCTCTTCATCTATGGTGTTGAAATGCGCACTCACTTTTTTCAGATAACCAATTTTACAATGGACCAAATAGTCGCCAGTCTCAGTGAACCCCGAGGGCTCCTCGTCTGGATCTTCCTCTTCGCTTCCATGTGGTACTACTCTGGTGGTGACTTCACTCACGTAGCGGACTATTTCACTGTAAACACACGGATGCCTTCCCTCTTTAAAGCGGAAAATCACCCGGGTCAAACGGCCATCGGCCTCGTTGTAGATGACATTGGCGTATTGGGTCAGAGACTCGTCCCAAGACCCAACTGTCTCGACAGATCCGTCGCCGTAGAGGATCCACAGGCCGCAGCAGCGATACATGCGGTTGTTATCATAGTCTCGGGCGTCCTTTAGTAGAATTCGTAGCTGCTTAATGTCGTAAAGGTGAGCACTGTTCACAACCGAGAAGATCCCAAAACCTAATCGTCGCATGACCCTTGGACGGTCCGGTAGAGTGAAGTGCAGCCCCGACGAGGAAGTCGGTGGTTTATGGTCTGCGGCGACGCCCTCTTTAGGCGTGCAATGAGCTCCAATGGTTTTGAAGAAGTTGTATGATATTGCCATCTGGTCGACAATGAGGCCTGAAACGGTGCATTTCTTATCCAAGTGATCGGGTATCAAGGACTCCCATCGAGAAGTGGCATCTATGAGTGCCATAGCAGGACCGAAGTATGCCATCCGATCAAGATTGGTTTTAAACTAATGTATCAAGTCAAGGTCATCGGTCAATGCTACTGTATCGTTGAGAGGGTAAGAAGATGTTCTTACCAGCAGGAACGGGCCACACGGGCGACTTCTATCCCCGGATGTCACCAGGCCGAGTGTTGTTATCTCTTCTCCATTTCTGAAATAGAAAGTTCGTGCTACACCTTTCCTTAGGGGGACCGATACCCAGCGAGGGCCGGCGTTCCCATGAACTACGAGGCAGCCCATGCCGAGGTCGAACACATACACAGTGATTGCTCTGGCGTGGTGGCCGTCGAGACGTAGCGGCAAATACCTACACATCGGGAGCCCAAGGAAAGCGTTGGGTCGCGGGCTGGGTGGTTCTGTGTAATAATGAGCAATAAAGGATACGCCACACTTGAGTAGTCTCCAGGAAGCATCCCACAAGACATTGAGTGGCGCGTCCTTCTTCGCCGACTGAACGATGAGTTCGGCAAAGCGCCTAACAAGATCTTTCTGGCCCTAATATACGTATATAGATGGATCAGAAAGCGGCATTTCAAAGTCAATAAACCCCACATGATTGAGAGAACCACTTACGCTTCGCGGGAACCGCATGTGTTCGCTAGTGAAATCAATTAGCTTACAACGCCATCCTTTTCGAGCATCTCCCAGCCAAGCCGTGATGGAACCGTCGTCCATATGAAATCTGATGGCCGCTATGCCAAATATTCCAAGAATAAACTCCATCTGGCGAATGGAATGCAACTTGACCTCCATGCACTCCTTGCCCGGTGTAGGTCGATGATCTTGGTTTTGGAGGAACTCGAGACCCCACAAGTAGGAACGCCCGAACATGTGAACGAGGGAGGCACAAACGTGAACCGTATCAACATGATCAACGTTGAAGGATGGTCCAGGCATAATTTGATAGGGGAGCGATGGCATAAGGAGAAGACGGCCAGTGATGAAGGTCTGGAGGGCCGTCATTAGTGAGAATACAATGGTGTTTCCATTCCCGTGGAGAAATCCCAATATGCGATATTGCAATTCGGGGGGCATTTGGGAGCATCTCGAGAGACAAGATCCCAAGTCTGTATTCTCAGTGTCGACAATGCCGCTTTGGATGGTGCCCAAAAACGAGGCGAGATGCGTGGGGGGTTCTTCTCCCCAGCAATCTCTAGGCAGGATTTCCTGCGTCTGCATGGCCACATCGTAGATCTCACGGTGACCAGGACTCCCTGACAGCGCTTCGACGGCTTTGCAGCAGAGCTGATGGGCAAAGAAGAAGGGCCGGTGCTTGACGCTGGGGCGGTCACGAGTAATGGCAATGGCCACCTCGCCGCCTTTGTGCCGTACAATGATATTCGACCCGATGATGGGGTATTTCTCTTTCAGGGTGGTCTTGATGCCAACGACCGTGGGGCCTTGAGACGAATCAGGGGCCAGGTCGAATACTATGACATCTTGTAAGCACGGGCAGCCGTTGATAGCTATTCCATTACAACTCACAGCCGACTATATCTTTCTCCCAATTCAAGGCGTTGACCCTAAAGACATTGATGCCGGGGTAGTACGGCAAGGCAGCTCGACAGAGGACGCAATGCGGCTCGGCAAGATAGATGAAGAGGTTTTGTGCCATGGCTCAGCGCGCGAGATGCCATCAAGACGATGGTCTGAATCCCTTGGTCTGATGCCTGAGATGAAGCAGGACGAGACGAGGCTCGCTTGGAGAGGTGAAACAGCACGTCTTATATAAGGTACGGCTAAGGTACGACTAAGGTAGCTCTGCTTGAGAGGGGTACATGTACATGCAGTGCCCTACGAGTACATGAATCAATCCATTGGATGTCCAGGCACCCTGCCTGTACTTGTACCCTGCCACCTCAGACGCCTGATCTGATTTGCCCAAGGCGATGTTTGCTTTTTTTTGTTTTTGTTTTTGTTTATCGGCTGGTGTTTATGCCGCCCGCATGTGCATAAAGCCCGTCCAAGCCAAGTGAGAACTGAGAGGCAATATTTGTGCCTTGCATGCTTTAGTCCTGGTGATACGTGGCTCTGCATGTCTCCCTCTCTTTGCCTCAGGCTCCCCCCCCCCTCAACTCTTTGGTGATGGCTGCCGGATACTTTTTGCCCTTACAATGCGAGAGGCAGGGCCTGAGGCAGGGCTTGACGGCGAGATGGCTGCACCGCACTCAATGTCGGCTACCGTCACGACGCCAAGTCTCAAGGCTGGATGCTCGTACGCCTACCTTAGTCGGCACAGGTAGTTGCATTAGGCCAGGTTAGAGCTACGGCTAGGTCATCTTAGAGGTACTAATGTACATGTACCGAGTACAAGTGTTCTAACAATATCCTGTCCTCCAGTACTCCGATACTCACTACTCCGCTCTATTCAATCAGATGTTTGCTCTGGCGGCCCATCCAAGACATTGAGGCTGAGACAATCCCAGCCTCCCAATGCAAGGCGGCCGGGTCAGTCCCCCGCGCAGTCCGCGACCTACCAAGTTCTCGTATGCCGCAGCCAAGCGCGCTGAAAAGCTGGCCCATGTCTAGGCTCCCTGCTTGAAGCCACCGCCGCCAGCGAGTTTCAAAATTATCGTCGGGAGTGGTACCAAAGAGACGATCCATCCCATGGCACGAAAACAAGCCCAGTGTGATGCTGTCACTTGGCCCCATAGTAGCGCTGGAGGTGCTGTTCCGAAACTGGGGTGAGCGAGTGGGGAACGCTATCGCCGGGGATTTTGGTTGATCTCTTCCGGATCCTCAGAGCCAAAGCCAGCCGACATTGACTCGGAGGGACGAGCAGGGAATTGCCTCTCAAAGGTCAAATGTGTTCCCAGTCGTAGACTCGCCAGGATAATGGGCGCGCGATTTTACTATAGTTGGCAAGTAGGTAATATGCAACATGGCACAAATATATTCCGCAGTACTCCGTAGACGAAGCCCGCCTTTAATACAGTCCAGCAGGATCGCGGACCCGCTGTGGCCATACTTGGACGGCTTATCGTTATCGATAAACCACCAAGAGCAAGATGGAAAAAAAAAAGTTGATGGATGGATGCTCCAGCACGCTGAAGCGCATTTCCATCGCCTCGGCGCCCATCTCATCCACATAGCAAGACAAGTGTTTCAATTGAGACGACAACAATGTTCGCCGTTCCCGGGTGGTCAGTGTCTTCCGATGCGCTCAAGGCCGAAAAGCCCGCAGTCGCAGCCAGCAGTGGCTCTGCCAAGAAGCGCAAGAGGACCACCAGAGACGAGCCAGTAACGGCTGCCAACGTCGCCGATCTGTGGGAGACGGTCGTCGAAGGGAAGAAGCCCAGCAGCAGTGACAAGCCCGCACAGGATGCAAAGCGCCAAAAGAAGTCTTCCGACGACAAGCCCAAGGCCGGCGGCGAGAAGTCGGCGGCCGAGGCTGATGATGCAAAGTCACAGCAACAGGCAGGAGATAACAAGGGCAAGAAGAGCAAGAAGGACAGGAAAGAGAACGCAAATCAGCCAAAGAGCAAAGAAAAGGGAAACCGATTGAAATCCCAAAACGAAACCACAGTAGCAGTCGAATCCCCCAAAGAATCCAAATCCAAATCCAAAGCCGAGCCCGCAGCGGTCCTGCCTCCAGCACCACCCAAGTTGACGCCTCTACAGGCCTCGATGAGGGAGAAGCTGGTTTCGGCACGGTTCCGCCACCTCAACGAGACGCTCTACACGCGGCCCTCGGAAGAAGCCTTCAAGCTCTTCCAGGAATCCCCCGAGATGTTTGACGAGTACCACGAAGGCTTCCGCCGCCAAGTCAAGGTGTGGCCCGAGAACCCAGTGGACAGCTTCCTGCGGGACATTCGCACAAGGGCCAAGATAAGAAAGGCCGGCAAGGGCAGGCCCAACGCCCCGCCCCTTCAGCTCATCGCCAGCCCTCTGCCCAGGACCAGTGATACGTGCACCATTGCCGACCTGGGCTGCGGCGACGCCCGGCTGGCCGAGTCGCTCCAGGCGGACAAGCACAAGCTGCACATCGACGTCAAGAGCTTCGACCTCCAGAGCCCCAGCCCTCTGGTCACAAAGGCCGACATCGCCAACATTCCCCTGGAGGACGGCTCCGTCAACGTCGCCATCTTCTGCCTCGCCCTCATGGGCACCAACTGGCTCGACTTTGTCGAAGAGGCCTACCGCCTGCTCCACTGGAAGGGCGAGCTCTGGGTCGCCGAGATCAAGAGCCGCTTCGGCCCTGTGCGCAACAAAAACGCCCCCGTCACCCACAGCGTCGGAAACAGGCGCAAGCAGCCCTCCAAGAAGGAGGTGCAGGCCAAGGAGGCCGAGGCCGCTGGCCGCTTCGAAAAGGACCTCGCCGTCGAGGTGGATGGCCAGGACGACCAACGCCGCGAGACGGATGTGTCGGCCTTTGTCGAGGCCCTAAGACGGCGTGGCTTCGTCCTGCAGGGCGATGGCCGCGAGGCCGTCGACCTGTCCAATAGGATGTTTGTTACCATGCGCTTCATCAAGGGTGCTGCTCCTACCAAGGGCAAGGGTGTCAAGCCAAACGACGACGCCGGCCCAAAGAAAAAGAAAATGTTTGGTCGCATGCAGGACGAGGATGCGGATGATCAGGGTGGCGAAACTGAGGGAGCTATCCTCAAGCCTTGTGTGTACAAGATTCGGTGATTGTTTATGTGAGGATATCTATCGGTTGGCCCACTCAAGGGAAATTCGTCCATCTTTTTCTTTCCCTTTTTCGTCCCAGTTTGCCTTCTTAATGCAGCATCTCTACAAGCAGCAAAACGTTGTCAATGGCTAGATAGGAGCGCGGGTATATCACAGTGATCCAGGGCAAATACAGGTAATGCGTTTCGGCTTGTTAAGCAGCTTCTACTCCGCATCTCTTCGTTTTCTGTGCTTTTTTTTTAACTATCTCTCTATTACATCCACTGCAACGGACTCTCCAAACGCCTCTAGCTGTTGCATAAACTCCTAGTCATCGTCTGCATCCAATTGCCCTCGGGAATTCTCCACTTGTCGCCTTGTTGAAAGTAATAACAACAAGGATGATTTGTTTTTCTTTTTGGTGAAATTACAAGCAAAAAGAAAAGAGAAGAAGAAAAGAAGAAGAAAACCCCCCATAAATTTCCAGATGTTATGTACCTCTCGCCTGAAAGACACCCTACCCTGGCCGTGGGGTTAATGCTGGTTGATTTAGTTCTCGTGCTCTCATTAGGTATAGTAGTTTAAAAGAAGATCAAGCTAGCCGCCATATCCACGTTGTCCTCGGCAGCCTGGAGAGCCTGGATCGCCTGTTCCCTGGTAGCTCCCATGGCCATAAGACTATCAACGTGGGCTGGTGTTACACCGGCAGAGGGTGCTGCCGGCTGCTGTGGCGCCGCTTGTACCTGGGTCTGCGGCGGCGCGCCGGGTGTAGCCTGTGATGGGGTTTGCGAAGGGGCCTCTTGAGCAGGCATGACAGCTCCGGATCGTTGGCCAATGGCAGTCCCTGCCGGTCCGGGGATCGTAGGCTCCTGGACAATAGCCTCCTCCTCCTTCGGAATCTCGGCTTCTCCGAGAAACGAGATTTCCTGGCCTTGGATGATGAGCTTGTCACTGGCAAGATCAATATGGGCCTGATATCTCTTGAGCATGTCCAGGCCGAGCAGCAACTCGACAGACTTTCCCTCCATGACGGTAAAGCTGCAGGGCAGGAATAGGTTTCCAATCTTAATCTGGGCAGAGTGAACCCGGCCAATGATGGTGGCCGTTCCGACGCCTCGAGCAACGCCGGCGAACCTCTTGTCGACCAGGCGCATGATGCCGCACGCCTCGGCGCACGACGGCGACATGATGGTTGCCTGCGCTCCCGAGTCTACGAGAGCCTTTACCTTGTGGCCGTTGACCTCCACATTTGCGTACAGCAAGTGAACGCGGCCAAAGACTGGTACAGGCAGTTAGTAAACGTGGCAGAGTCAGCCCCCGCATCTCACAGGGGTCATGGGACGTCATCGTACATACCTTCGGGGTTGTGCTCCATGGCGTTTTGCAGATTCTCCATGACTCTCTCCTGGCGGATCATCTCCTCGATCCTCCTCTGGTTCTCAACGTTGAAGGGGTCTTCGTTGAGTCTTTCAATCTCGCGCTGCCGCATCTCTCGCTCTCTCCGCTCCCTGTCTTGGCTGTCTAGGAATATTCTTCGAAACCGCGCGGGGTCCTCGATGGCCGCGGCGAGCTCTGGGTGTTGCCTGGACAGCTGCTGTCTGACGGCGGGGTCGCCGAGAATCTGCAAGCGAAGCATCTCCGTGTCGTTTTCAGCTCCGGCGGCGGCAGTGGCGGCGCTTTGCTGTTGGCGAGCCGCGGCTGGAGGTCGCCCTGCTGCCTCCGGAGGTACCGTGCTGCCTCGCATATCCCGGACATGGACAGCCAGCATGTCGCCATCGCCGATTTGTAGCTGCTCCATGGTCTTGGCATCGTCCGAGATGAGTCGACCGTTGTGGTAGATGTGTTGCGAAGTAGGGGGGATGCCTGCCTCGGAATGGACGGACTCGCGCAGGGTAGAAACGGTCATGTCGGGGAAGACTTCGAGAGTCACCAGGCTATCCTGGTCTCCTCCGTGAGGATTGAAGACGTTGAGCGTGATGCGCCTGGCAAGTAAATCCACGTTAGCCTCCCTCCCACCTCCATTTAGGACGAGACAAGACATACATGTTGGGATATTGATGCGGGCGTTTAGCACACAGCGAATGAGAATGAGGAAGAGAGAATGAGGACGAGAATGATATCAAGCCCGGATCTGGAGTGAGATGGAATGGAATCTCAGGGAAAGCCGGGGAATTATGGAAACGGACAGGTTTAGTAACAGTAAGAAAGACTAAGAGATGACCGTCAAAACCAGCAGGGGAAGAAGAAGAAGAAGAAGCTGGTGGAATGGATGGCAAGGTGGTCGATTGCTGGCCTCGGCGTAAAGAAGAGGCAGCGTCAGTGTCAGCGTCAGCGTCAGTGGGAGAATGACGATGGATGTCCGTCCACAGACAAACACGCGAGCACGGCTTCGGCTTGTTACTTGGTACGGTAATAGCTGGGCTCACGTTTGTTGGCAGCGGATAGATTCAATGGAGATGACGGGAGGACTAGGGAGGGGCTGTGAGATGACTGCTAGCCTGAGCTGGAGGGGCAAAAAAAGCTGGGTTGCATGTTGGCAAGCTCCTGTTTTGGGCGTCATGACTCCTCAAACCAGTCAAGCCTGGCGGTGACACGGCGAATAGCAGCTTCTAGGCGGCTTACAGCGGGCAGGTGCTGTTTGGAGCCCTTGGAGGGGCCCCGTGGCGGGCTATTATGTACGAACGAGTACGTACTTGTTCCTGCCTATTGCTACTAAGCCCTGGGGGTTTAGTAAATACCGAGCACTGGAGGAGTATAAATTATGGATAATACAGTAGAGCGCTGAGGGCATTTTAGGTGATCTTTTAGGGTTCTAGCGCCTGCCCATTTCGGGCCTAGCATTTCCAGGATCAATTAGGATCCGGGCAGATCCAGTTGCTGTTTTGAGCACTCTGCGCGTAACCAGCACAATGAGACCGGAGATTTGACGTCCATCAGCTGCACTGTTTGGGGAATCGTCAATTAAGCTCCTGCTGCATCCATTCCTCCATGCAGCAGGTAGATGATGCGAGGGCCCATTTGTAGGACTTTTTTTCAATATAGTAGCACTGACGGGCCACAGCCACCCTTACATGCTTGGTTTTCTACTAACTGTAAGGATCAGGGAGTTGAGCTGGGGGAATCATACAAGAATCCGCCCGTCCAATTTGACGATTGTATCACCACTGCCTCTCTACCTTCCTGGTAGAGCAGTAAATGGCATTATCTACTGACAGCCATGAGCTACTGTACCTGCTATCCATCGTCTCAATCGGCATCATCCAATTCGACCTATAACGGCGTAGCAGCGTGTGTTAGTACATGTCCCTACCTCAGTTGGTCGGTCATCAAGGGAAAACCCTTTGTATTTGACGTCTCCCAGCCTTGGACGTCTCGCATGTGATGTGCACAACATTCAATAATCTTTACGATTTACGTACTGCAATAGTAATCTGGTCTTGTTTAAAAAAGCCCACCGCATGCATTCAAACAGCGAGGATGAAGAAGGGGTTGCGAATAAGCACCTCATGGATATAGGGTAGGACATCAGCGACACAGCTTGATAGTACGGATTTGGAAACGGCATCAACGAACCCATCCAGTGCAGCATGGAGTGTATTCTGTCCCTCACTCTCGCTCTCGCTCTCGCTCTGGCTCTGAACGAATACGCTGTGAACGGTTCACCTTAGCCGCCATACCAGGAAATTAAAAGTCTCTCGACTGGGCGCGTACTCGTACGAACCCAGTACAGGTACTAAGGTAGAAATTACCTTGGTACCATGGAAGGTACTGCTGTTACTGTCCATGTACGTGTACTTGTGTCTTCGTACCAGGGCCACCCACCTGACTTGCAGTTTGCAGGCATCAAAGTCAAGTACCAAACCTGCCACCAACAATATCCAATCCTTCCAAGTCCCGTCTCTCCCTGATCTTGTCTCGTCTCTGCCCGGATTCTCAGCTTTCCGGCCCCTCCCACGCCAATGAGCCGCTTTTCCATCTGCCTTTGCCAATGACGACCAGGAGAGCTTCACCGGTGCGGGGACATGCATCATGTCTCGCGGCCTGTCTCTGCCGTCACGAACCGCCCTTGAACAACTGCACCTGACGACCCCATCAACCGCAACCGCAACCGCAGCCGCAACCGCAACAGCAACAGCACCGTCGAGAATCCCATCGAATCCCAGCCAGACTCTTGGACACGTCTCTGGCCCAGCCCACCCCGCTGCTGTTCCCGGGATGGCAGGAGTTGCATGCCGCATCACTAGTTCACCATCTGTGCGCAGAAGCTGCGTCAGGCCAGCCAGTCGCACCGCGAGCATGAGCCCCCGGCGTTCATCTTTGCCAGCGAGGACGGGACAGGCCAAGCACGGGAGAAGCAGCTTTACCCCGTCCTCTTGCAATCACTGATCCTGAAGCCTCCTTGCCGCCAGAACCATCTCCCCCCATGTCTAGCGTCTGTCCTTCGAAGCATGCTAAACGAGCATAATCCAACCCGAGATTCCACCCAAATCAGAACGAGAAAGCTGTTCATCCTTACTTTTCTCCTCGTTAAAAACGGGGGGGCTCTCTTTCCTCCCTCGCCAACGCACATGTATCTGTCTAGGCTGGCCAGATCCATGGCGTGGCTCTCCGCACTTCTCTCTCACAAGCGCCATCGCTAACACGCGTGTGCCTTGGAATGGGCCCTTTGCTGCAAACCTCATACGCAGCCTGATTCGTATGCTTTTTTTCTTTCCTTTTTTTTTGTCAGCGCTATTCGGACCCCTGGCTAGTCGGCCAATGCCTCCCGGGTCCATTAGATTAACATCCAGCCCTTTCTTGGTTGTTGAGTGGCATAGCACATGTGAGGAGAATTGTACTTGCAATGTGAGACACAAAGCCGCTCAATGTGCCATCAGGTCTGTCCCGCGGCTCTAGAATACGACGTGGGCAGTTGCATTTCATCTCAACCCGACCGGCGCAAGCCCATTAACTCGTACATGGCCGACGGCTTGTGTGGGACGCTGCAAGGGATCGAGTACGGTTCCATGTCCAGTCTCCTCAGCCTCATACATCACGACCGGTGAGTACATTGTGCCAAAACCAGCCCCTCTCTATTTCCCATCCTCTCTCCCGCACATTGTCTCCTCAATTTGGGAGTGTGTACCGCATACCTGTGCTCTGCGATCTCGCGAGTTAGGAGACGCCTCAGCAACAGTACGAATACCCCTATGGCACAATTTCTATGTGGCTATTTCACCCGTGGGCCACTATGGCGCTGTGTGTGATGACATTGAAAGCCTCCCTGCTTACGAGCTGATGGCTTGGGAGCTACAAGTGGTTACCGCTTGTTTTCACACTCACCCCCGTGTGTTTTCCGAGCTGCTCGTCCCGAGTAGGATGCGATGTGATTGGCAACGTGATGTGCTTCCCCGCCCGGCAATGCCCCCCCTACTCAAACTTTGACTCGAATGAGCGGTCATGAAAAGCCTCCCTCACTTCATACGGCGGCATTCGTCTCATGAGCGGCCGAAAGCGGATGTAAAGTTGCGCACCCAACTTATTGCTAAACACATGTGTTAGTTGGTATCCACCAAGTGAAGCCGACTTCTAAGCCATCACTCGGGAAGGGGCTTGCATCTTTCTCTGGAGGGCTGCGGGTAGGGCTGCCACTCTATTCCGTATCCTTGGATGGACTGAGTCTGGTAGGGCAATTTTGTGACCAGAGATATTGAATGACAATGAATGGACTGACTAGTCACATTTGCCCTCGCCAGCTCAGCCTGGTTCGTTGCAGTCAGACCAGGGGCTTCGCATTGTCCACTATCCGAACAAATGCCTGCCAATCCACTCAGCTGAAGGAGAAATATTCCTTGGATCCATACTCCGGACACTTGCTTCTGATAGTGCGGACACTAGATCGACCGGAACCTCAGGGGGTGAAAGAGGCGAGTGTGGCAGTGGATTGGCAATGCTTCTCCCATTTGCCCATCCGCCTACTTGTTTCAACTCCCCTGTCCAGGTCCAAGAACGCCCACAGGTAGACTACTGTACTACTTTGTGTATCTTATTGCCGAATACAGAGCACCTTGCAAGATCGCAGCAGACGACCTCATCAACTCTGGTTTTATTTCTGTTTAAGTCAAACTCAAGGGCAAATCTTCCACGACGGTCAGCGTAGACTCAGAGTATTTTTATCATTTGAAAATCCTGTCTCATATGACAGGCATCCGTGGAGTATTGGCCTGGCCAGCTGTGTCAAGCCACCTGCAGCTGCCGCTTATCAAGACCAAATTATTGTTTTGCATCTGAGACTTTGCGTTGCTTTTTCCTCTGATTTTTGGAGGGGTACTTTGCTATGGTGACCTTCTATTCGTCTTTGCATCATGTATGTCTTCAGCCGTGACTAGTCGCCAAGGATAAAAATACCACACCCTCACATGGCCACCAAGACTCTTTTTCGTTTCATTTCCGCCTCCCTATCTCTTATTTAATATCGATTTCCCCGTCACTCGTTAGCAGTCAAGCCCCCCTCAACCCCCCTCAACCCCCCTCAGTCTCAACGCAAGGCAATTTATACATACCAGTGAAAGAAGAAGGAGAGGAAGTGGGAGAAGAAGAAGATGATGATGAAGACGCAAAAGGACATGGCAGTTGCTAACTCTAGTGAGGCGGTTCCATCAACTTACATCGCCTCCTCAGAGGGTCGTCTGAGCCCCGTCCCATTTCTGCCAATCATCGCCAACGATACGGTTGATATAGATGATGAGCTGATGGAAGTTGGCACAATAGGGTTTGACAGGATCGCTCAATTCTACTTCTATGAAGTGTGTCTATCGGAGGAGTTCTTGCGAGCATTCCCCTTTTGTTTCAACCCCAAGCTTGCCTTTTTGAAACCGCAGCACGTTGTCACGGCCATCGTACTGGAACAGTTTGCTTTTGAGCATTCTGTAAGAGGATTCTGTAACCAGCTGGTAAGTTCCCTTCTCACCATTCCTTTCCATAAGCGGTTGTTGGAGATGCAGGCAACTAAACAGTGGACAGGTCGAATATCGCGTCAGGTTTTCTTGCAACCTCAGTTAC